GGTTGCTCCGTTTTTGGCAGTTTTTTTTGCTCTGTGAGTTCCAGTTGCCTGCACGTTTCCTTCCTCACTAAGAATAGTAATTTGGCATTCTGTAGACAGCTGGCCTTGCAGCGGTCCCGGAAAAGTGTGAGTGAATGAGTGTAGGTGGGCGTGTGTGCATGTGCAGCTACCACACTGTAGGCCACATGGGAGATAGCTAGCTAGAGAGAGAGAGAGAGAGAGAGGGGGGGGGGGATGTTCATGGTTTCATGTTAGGACGGCAAAGGCGGTAGTATTTGGACTAAAGCCAAGGTTAAAACACACAGCTCACAGACAAAGGCCAAATCTCTCTGTGACCATTCAAATGAGGCTGAGTCAGCGGAGCACTTGGCCAAGCCACAACAGCATTTTACCATAGCTTCACCTTGTGTGTGTGTGTGTGTCTCACAACTACCAGTGTGTGTGTGTGTGTGTGTCACAACCACCAGAGCTGCTGAAATAGCAATGATGGCATATTATATACTGCAGTCACAATACTCAGTGGGGCACTGGGTGATAGACGAAAAGACTCGATGCGAGTGTGTACTTCAAACTTTCAAAGACACTAGTCACATGAACACAACAAATGTGAACAAGCTCAACAACACAACGATCAAGTACGGAAGTGAAACAAAAAGGATCCTCCTTTTTCACCATCATTAAGCCAAACACTATATTAATAATCACACTATCACAATAATTAATCTGACACTTTCACAAATAAATAGTAATTCATAGCAAATATAATTCCGTAATTTGTATATTTGTCTATCCTGTGCTTTCAGCCATATTTTAATCCAGGACAAAAGTAATGTAATGTAATTGTAATGCTTTAGTTTGCCAATGTTCAGCCAATTTAAGTTACTTTGTAAAATCTGGGTTGGTAGTTCAGTAACCCATCGTGTTACATTAATGTAGTTAAAAGTACACATTTTTCCTGTAAAATGTGGTGGAGTAAGAGTATGCGTAGCCTAAAATAAATGTAAATACTGAGTAAAGTACAAGTATGACAAAAATAATAGTAATGTACAATACTTGTAGTAAATGTACTTGGTTATATTCCACTGCTGCTGATAAGTGTGTTGGTTGTTGGCTCCGGACTAAGTGGCTTAGTGGCGTAATTCCACACCTATCCCATTAGCAGATATGATTTAGCGCTGCGGCTAATGGCCTTCCAATAGCTCAATGACGCTGGCTTTAAGTGGCTAAAGCCATTTCTAACTCTCTCACAAGAAACTGTTCCCTGCCACAAGAATGTAAGTGGCGGGACTCGCATAGCTGTGGAGGTTGTGTGTGTCTGTTGCACTGAGGCACAAGAGACTATCTTCCTCTCGCTATCAGAGAAGTGTTGATGTTTTGATAGAGTCGTGAAGAACAACCCACACTGGTATGTCGACTTATCTGATGTACGGTGTCAGGCTCGGTCCCTGATGCAAAACTTGATGCCTGCTATAGACTTACCTCAAACATTTATTTGTAGTTTGCTGCCACATCAAGTTTCCTTTTTGTGTTTGGGATCACAGCCTAACCCTAGTGGCGAAGGAATGAGTCTAAAAACCTTGAAATTAGTTAGCATTCTAGTACTTTCGGTTCCATCGTCTTAAAGTCAAAGCGTTTATTAATGGGTTTTTGGTTAGATGCCTAAAATAAGGTTGGTGGTTTACACTAGCTTAAGTGATGTTCTCCTTATGTTCCCTGACATGAATAATGTCTGTAAATACTAGGGATGCTCTGATCAGGGTTTTTGGGGCCGATCGCCGGAATCAGAATCGGCCGCTACCGATCCGATCATAGGGTGGGTGGGGGCTATGGGGATCTTCCATTTAAAGTGATGTTTAAAACTCAGTTAATGGGGCTAATTTTTATATTGCTTCAGTTTATAATCGTAATGGATCGAAAAGTTCAGATTCATTTTTCAATAAATGATGCGCTTCCACAAAGAACATAATTATTACATTCAAATGAAGTACATTATTCAAGTTTACATTAACTTTGGATAATAACACGGGAGAGATGAGCGGAAGCGCTCTCTCCCCCTCTCCTGACAGTCTGTCAGTGTCTCATGCAGCTCACTGATCCAGTGAGTGACCCGACCGTGAAGAATAAACATATGTAGGCTATAACTAGTTTAGCTTGTTCCAGAGGTAAATCAAATGGCTAAGTGTGTTAGGTCTAACTCTTAGTGTGTTTTGCTCCGCTGACCGGTCCGTCACAGCGGGCAGAGCTGCAGGATTTCTGCTTCACACACGTTGCATTCCGCTATTTTATTGTGTTTTTCGGACACCTTGAACAACTGCCAGACTGGTGAAGCCATTTTGGCGAGCTTGTTTTCCCGCGCACAGAGAAAAGTGTCATGTATTTTGCGTCATCTGATCGGCTCTCTCACACTATTAAGAGTGAATATCGGCCGATAACGATCGGAGCATCCCTAGTAAATACCCCACTGGTGATTAATGAAGCTTCTATGTGTCATAACAATGACAGTTGCTAACTAGTGACTAAATAAGACTAATATTTCAAGTTAAGTTGTAATGTACTCTTAGCTTTTCACAGGGGGTTACTTATACCCACTTGAGATCATTTTAAACCATCTATCCATTTGCGACCATTATCCACTGAAGAGGCACTTTGTCTGTTTGTGGCCGGACGCCCTGATAGAGTCAGAGAAAGTAATGGGGCCCACGCTCTCTTTCCAGGATTGAAGTGTTTGTCTGGGAAGAGCAAACACGTGCTAGTGTTAGAGATGGAGGGGAGCAGCACAATGAGAGAGTGAAGGGCTCCCTTATTAGGACAGCTTCCAACAGCTGAGACAGGATATAGCACGCTAAATCTCACTGTGGAATGTATGACAATGGAGCGTGAATGTCTGCGCTTCTGTCCTGAAGTGTGTTTTTACCCTTACTCAAATGGAAAAGAGAAAAGTAATCGAGGATATTATCGTCAGCTACGCACACTTGCCACCTTTTTATTTAGTCTCTGACCCACATACACAATCACTCGGCCTGCTCACACAGATGCGTGCTCACACAAACTTCATACAGGAGTCTTTGTTCGCTCGGCCTAGTCCTTTCGGGGCACATGACAGCAGATTTGATCTCCATGAGTGACTGAACTTTGAAGTAGAAAATGTATTTAGCTCTGGTTTGGAGATGAGCCACGCTCATGTCATCCCGTTATTAGACAGACACTGTTCAAGGAAACTTCCCCCGATTCGTCATTCAAGACAAAGTCTGAGGAAATACACTTTGTCATTGTCTTAATTTGGTCTGTAGTGATGTCTTTTTTATTATCATGACTCTGTCTTAGGTCATCTATGGCATGTTTTTAAGCATTGTATTCCACAAGTTCTCTTTCTTGTTCATTTGTACCCTAACTGAGTGAAAGGACATAACTTTATTTGTGCAGAATGGATCATTGGTATTCGTCCTGACTCCTGAGTGAATGCTTCCACAACTAGCGGTCTTCTAATTGACCTGCTTGTTTTGAAGTGCCTGTTGCGTTCACTTGGAACAGAGTGGTGTGAATCAGCACTCCCTTTTTACATTTGAACAATCATTAAACTCACCATGATAGGAAAGTGAACGTTCAGGAGGAAGATCAGACCGGCTCCACCAACTTTTGAAAAGTGTGTCAAAGTTTCTGAATTATTCCTGTTGTCTGAGATCACCATTGCTTGATTTGTTTGTTAGAGGGAATACACCTTGGATTATACAATTGTTTGGCACTATTGTGCAGCTGGTTTTGTCTATAACATTCAAATCAGCTTGTTGTTGTTGTAGCTCCTAATGTTTTATCAATGGAAGCTATTCGATGCTGCCATAGCTTCTCATTTAATCGGGTTTATAGATTGAAGTCCAACGCATATATAAGGTAATTGAATTGCTGCACCTTTAGGACCTTACTTCGGACTCTCTTTTGCTTTTAGTTTGTAGAAGTAAAAGCAGTAAGGCCTTAAATAATTTGACCTAATTTAATCTGTGGTTACAGTTAACTATCATGTTAAAATAAATGCACTATTATACCTTGCAGGGTAAGTGTAGTACCAATAAAGAAAACTAAAAGAATATTTTAAAGGAAAGACATGTTTTGGGGCATTTACAACATTCGTGGGGAACTTTTTAAAAAACTGTAAATGTAGCTTAAAATGAATTAAATGGTGTTTTATTACGATAGTGGTCTAAACTGGTAAATCATTGTATTTTATCTTGGTGTCAGTACTTGCCACAATCAAGTATGTTTTTGGGGCCATTCTGATTCCTCTTAGGTAGTTAAGCCCTTTTGCCTCTCAAACTGAAAACATCTCCTGCCAACTCTCCTCTGAGCTCGGGGATGCTCCTCCCAATTAAAAACACCTCTTGCGTCTTGCGCTCTGTAACTTGATGGTGCGATGCCTTCTCGATAACTCCCCTGAATGCTCTCACATTTTGCACTCGTCTCCCCCTTCCTTCCGCCCTTTCTCAGCACCTTGGAATGAAGAAGTGTTAACAAGCTTGGCTGGCTGCTGCAGCAAAAACACCTGCTGTAATCGTCTCTCGTCATGCATCTCACTTTTCCTCTATTTTTAACCGTGCAATGCAGTAGGTGAGGAAACGTGCCGAAGATGTGACGGCTTTGCTTCTACTGATGCTGGTCCCACCTTGAATTCTCAAGAAGCTCTTTCTTTGTGCCTGCTGTTCCTCTTGCTCCTGTTCACATTTTCTCTGTACCTGCGTCTTTATCTCCGCAGTTCTCGTTTATCTTCCCTTGCCTTTCCTGCGTCAGCACCTGCTGCTTTCCAACCTTTACATTTCAACTTCATTAGCACCTCCCAGATGTTCACTGTGACACAGCTCTTCTGCCTTTTTATATCTGTCTACATGGGTGATTTATATGTCTGTTCTTTAATGAAATCCCGGTGTTGGTTTGAATCTCTTCTGCTCTCTGGTGTTGACCTTTGTCCTGTCCTGTCCTGTGCTCTGATCTGCTCTGCTCCCAGCGTGTGAATGGAGCAGTGTGCGAGTACGGCCTCCCTGCTGGCCTCGGTGCGGGAGCAGGAGAGGCAGTTTGAGATGCTGAGCCGAGCTCTTGAGGAGGAGCGGAGGTCGTGTGCCGGCACCTTGCCCCGCCCCCTCCCCAACATGCAGGTAACACGGAAAAAACTCCCCTCGCCCCATTCCATTTTTTCCCCTCCATCACGCACATTTTCCATCGAAAAACGTCCCTCGCATTCAACCTTGATCCGAGCAAGTTCTTCCTATGTTTCATCTCCATGGTCACCTCCATCCCTTCTGTGTAGCCTGGCTGGATTGTAGTGCATAAACCAAACCTGCTAGCTAGGTTAAATGTAGATAGTAATGAAGCATGCTTGAATTTTCGGTTAAATAAAGGAAATGAAGCTCCCCCAGAGTGGTGCAGAGATATTTGTAAGCCGACCTGGAAGTTAGAATCGCAAGTGCTCCCTCAACAAAAGTCAAAGGGATTTTTTACTGGATTTTCCAAAAAAAAGTTCTGGGCCACACATTTTGTTCAGCAGGATAATCTCCACATATTAACAACAACTAATGTCAGGCTATAAATAAAACGACATCAAAGTTCCATGGCCTTTCGTCCCAACCGCTAAGGTGTTTGCCGTGATGTCGTTTAGTAGTCTCTTTTAAACATTTGTTAGCAACTGCTGTTTTATGACACAAGCTTCAATATTTTATTTTGTAGAACAGTAATATTCCTTCATGTTGTTTTAAATGGGCCCTATTATGCTTTTTGGGGTTTTCCCGTTCGTGTAGTGTGTTATTTAGTTTTTCAAAATGCATGCATGTTAATGGCCTTCAAATGCTAAAATCCCCAAATTCCCCCCAGACGAGGGAGTTTTTTCTCCCACACATTGTCACAGTAGAGGCACAAAATACAAATATTAACTTGAAAAAGAGCACATTATCTCCTCTTTAAAAAGACTCGACTTGGACAGGAAGGAACCAGAATTGGTTGCATTTGAACTCATTTCTGGGTTTTAGGACTAATTCCTGCACCACTCTTTAGCTTTCCTGAGGAGGTCCTTTGTCCTTTGTCCTCTGTTGCTCTTCGCGTCTTTTGCTGACCAATGTTTTTCCAGCCTCCAACGGTTCCTCAGTATTCTTCTCATTCAAAACAAAATGTATTGCATCGTCATCCTATCCCTTCACCAATACATCTTTACAACCAGCTGTAACTCATCATGTTTGTCTTGTCCGTGGAAGTTTGCATGACTTGTTTAACATTTTGTATGTTGTGATATTGGCCTTTTTCTGGACCATCATCAAGAGTTTACCTTTGTAGCTACAGTATGTCAGCCAGCTGGTTTATCTACGAATCGCTTTCATGTTCTGGAATAAGGAAGACGTCCTTGGCTACTTTTTTCAGCGGGACAAAGTCCGTTAACTGGTTTTCCTTCAGCCCTGTTTCATCACCTGTGAATTCTTGGGTCAAATCTGAGTCCGAGTGAGTAGCTAATACCATTTGTTTCACTACTTGCTTACACACCCTGTGTAGCATGCATGAGTCATATGCCTGGTTCAGGCACTGTCGGGTGACTTCATACTCAGACAGGCACACCTACGCACTCTCGCTCATTCTTTTACTTCCTTATTGACACATTCTGCTATTAGTGTGCGTGAATAAACTGGCACACACGCATACTTTTGGCCCTTAGGCAACCTTTGAAACACACAGGACTCCCTCACTTTCTGTCTTTGTCGCACATGCATGTGGGCAGCAGGACACATTCCAGCCCCAGGTAATTCTGGAGGCTGATAAGAAGCAGAAGCATAGTGTGTGTGTGTGTGTGTGTGTTCGAATGGGACAGAAATGTAGCCTGTTCTAGTCCTTATCTCTGCCGTGTGTGTTTACATAGCCCAAAGGCTTCGGCATGCCTCTGCCACTCTCCCAGGCAGCGCAACACAACCTGAGTCTCCACTGACAGGTTCCCACACGCTCACATCTGCCATCACACACTTTATATTCTTCTCTGAGTCCTTGCCTGAACTAAAGTGTGTGTTCATATACCAAAAGTATTTGGGCAGATTTAGGCAGAGAATGTAATTACGAGCAGCATTCACTTGTTTAGGTTTTTAAGATTGAGAATACAACATTACTGTCAGTATGACATGACTGTATGCTATCTGATCACAGAAGGGATCTACCCCCGTTAACCCCCATGCAGCGGAGATAAGAGAGGTGCGTAGAGCTCCCCCTGTGGCTGGAATGGGAAGTTAACACCCATCACCACTCCCTGGCTGGACATGCCGGTGGTGTTGAATTTGTTGTTTTTGTTTGTCTCTCTTTATGGGTCATTATTCATTACTAATTATTTCATCTTTTCATTGCATTTTACAGTTCATTCACAAGATTGTTGGATGAGTGTGTTCCCTAGAGTTCTATGTGTTCATCATGTCATCATACTGTTTTTATTTTTTATGTGAAACACAATGCTAACATACTTTTTAACTTTCTCTGACTTTTGATAGGTCTTTTTGAGAAGGTTTGTTTCTGGTCGGCTGTCATTAAGAAGTTGCTTGGGTTGAAGAATTGAAATACATGTTTGCTTAGTGATTATTTTCATTGACAATTCCTAGCGTAATTTATTTTAGTTGCATCACTGTAAGGAAACACATGTAATTGAGCAGCACAGTAATCATAGCACTGAAGCCTTACAGAATAAAGCTGCTTTCACTTTACTGTACATGAGTAGCCTGTCTGTCACTCTGGACGCCTTTAAACGGATGTGTATGTGATGTGTTCAGACACATATAGTCCTTCCAAGCAGTGATTGTGTGTGTTGGATTCCCCTCATGTATGTTTCTTCTCTTCAGAACGGTCGCATTCCTTGTGATGCAGACATAGAGAGGCTAACACTGAACGAGGGTTACATCAACGGGACACATCACGTAAGCATATTCTGAAGACAACTTTTTCTTTCCGTGCTGTTTAAATCCTAAGGGCCGCCATATACACCAGGGACCAGGGTTCAAATCTGGCTTGGCACCACTTGCCGCATGTCATCCCCTCCGTCTCCTTGTCTCTAAAATACAGTCACTTACCGCCCAAAAACATATTAAAAAAACATATCCTTAATAAGACCAATATTCAAGTTTTTTTCCCACTGACATATGTGCAGTTCAGGATGGATCCTGGACAGATGGTGCAGGAGACGTACACGGTGCAGGAAGACCCTCAGGAGGCTCCACCTGTTATCTCCGTGGAGACCAATGAAGACGGGACCACGAGGCGCACAGAAACCACGGTAACTTGAGAGGATAAACATGGAAATGACGAATTGACTATATAAAAAAGAGTTTTGAGTTGCATACATCTGAAGCACGTCAGTGACATTTTCTTTAAGATTGCATCTCTAGAATTACTCTTAAGTAGGGATGCACCCATTGCAGTCAATACCAAATAACAATTTGGCCGAGGCTGATTCCTAAAAATAACTGCAAAACAAGCTTTTAGTTTATGGGTTAATAGGGACACAGAGTACCTAATGACATGGCCCAGCAAAACAGATACACATTAGCTCCTGCCGTCAGAACATGTCACATTATTTTCCAATATGGCTAACATACATGCGTCTTTACTTGTAAGTGACATCATTTTAAACTTACATACTAAATGTTGTCTCTTCACCCCTTCGTTCTTTCAGGTAAAGAAAGTAGTAAAGACCACTACCACTCGCACAGTCATCCCCTCCGTGTCAGACACACTGTCCCTGGATGGCGGGGGTTCAGTGACAGGAATGAGTGCCTGCACTGGACCGGTCTACAGACAAGCACAACCAGCTGGACCCATGGATTACCCCACTCACACTGTGCCCCGCAACTACCAATATGGACCGCCAGCGGGCTACGAAGACTACCGCACCGGGCCCCCGTCGGAGGCCTACACCAGCCTGAGCCGGGGGGCGCGCATGGACGATCGCTACAGGTACAGTTTGTTGTTGAAAGCCATCAAGAGAATCTGAATACTTCATTTATCCCAAGGGGAATCAGGGTATTGTGATAGTTTCCTACTTTAGAATAAAATAAAATGCAAAGATATATAAAATGTTTTAATTGGTGGTGGCTCAGGGGTGAAATAGGCCTCTGCCAATAGGAGCGGCAGTGGTTCGATCCCGACACATGCTGTCCATACGTCAAGTGTCTTTCTGCGAGATACCTGCTCCTGTAGGCAAATCTATGGGATGGAAAAGTATGCAAGTTGCTTTGGATAAAAAAAAGAGAAGAGAAAAGCATCACATAAATGACGTCATGTAGCGTAACATAAACAAGTTAAATTAAATAATAAATAAAACTGATTATGAAATAAAAAATATGAAATATTTGTATTGACTTAAGAGGTCAAATATGTGCACGTTATACTATATAAGTAGCAGTAAATATGTAAACATGTGTATTACAATATATACCGTGGTGTATGAGCATTAAAAAAGACAAGTAGACTTAAACTTTGAAACTTTAGACTCATCTTCTCTGCCCCTCCCTCCCCCTCCCCAGACCGGTCCATCCTGACGGTTACAGAACTCTGGATCTGAACTACAGAGCCGTCAGCAGGAACCAGCTGGACCCCTATGCTGCTCAGCCTCAGGTATGATCAACAATCAGCAGCTCTGACATGCTTTCACCTCTCTGAACCCAGAGCAGAGTCTCTGAGGCCTCTATGGAAACACTTATCACACTATAAATCATAACAATTATACAATTCAGGTTCAATTCCTTTCACAAAAATTGGATACAATCTTTATTAATGAGATGTTTTCAGGTGACCACAAGTGTTGCTAATATAAGAAAAATCCACTTGCTACACACATCCAACTGTTCCGACATTACAACCTCCTGTGCGTCCTCACCTCTGCTTTATGTAAACAGCCTGCAGTTCAGTTTAAGTTTAATGAGCTTTTATCACATGACTGTCTGTCATAGCTGAGTCATTAGTGACTTTCCAGTTGCTCTAAGCTGTGGAGAATCTTATGTTTTCACAAGATATGGTGTCTGGAAATGAGAAATGTTATCAAAAAGTTATTTTGATACAAAAAAAATCACTATTTTAGATTTTGTTCCTGACCAAAGCAAGGATAATTATATGTTCAAGGAACGTTTGAATTTGAAAAGTTAGACAATCATTTCTGTTTTGCTAATTTCCGACTATGATAAATAAGTGCAATAAACAAATCATCATCGTTGTTGGGTTCAGAGGGTTAATTGTTATCTGACACACTCAATTCAGTGCTTTGCTTCCATGCTATATGTAGTGAACACATATGCAACCCGTAGCATTGGTTTACCAACAGCATTTGACTTGTATGATTTATTGTCCCTGTGAAGGTTGGGCGTATGGGAAGTGCCGTGGAGCTCTCCTCCATCCCCAGGTTTGTCGCGGAGCCGTACGGTCTGGAGGACGATCAGCGCAGCATGGGCTACGACGAGCCCGACTACGGCATGGGACACCAGATGCACTACAGCACCGTGCCCCGCAACCTGCATGGCTACCAACATGGGCCCCCCCCACGCAGGGCTGGGTAAGACATGTTTTTTTTAAGTGACACGAAGAATTATGATTCTATGTGTGTATAAGAGTGATGTTCCGTCCCGTCTGCAAACAATTATATTTGAGAGAAACGTCAAAGTAAAGAGAAAAATATATCGGATTTATATGCGACAGGTGGAAGTGATATTGGCACACCAGAGAGGGCAACGTTTTTTTGACCAGACACAAGGAGGCCACAGGAAAGACAAAACAAGAAGACATGAACAGATACTGCCGTTGTACTATAGGATATTGTATCTTTGAAAATAAACTGCACAAAACAACGTTCTTCCCTGCGTAAGATTCACTAGCTGGTGCCTTAGCAGCAGTTCACATTTTGATTTCATTTTCAGTTTTATTTCTTTATAGTTTTGCAGCTAAAGGCTGCCATTTAGTAAGTAATGTTATTCTCTTAATTCTCCAATTCCAAGTGTGTTTTTATTGCCTTTATCCACATAATATCTTCACAACATCAATATATCGGGTTTTCAGTCTGAAACATTTTGATATTGCAGCGGACTCTAAGGAAATAACTCAGTATTGTCTACCTTCACACTAACACAGTAACAGTTAGACAGTGCAACCGTAGGAACATAGAATATTGAGAGTTTCCAATTGTTTTCTGGTTACGTTTTTAGCTTTGTTAGTAAACGACTCACACCTTGTGTATTCAAAGGTAGTAGATGTTTGTCACTGCTTTCTCCCAATTTCTATTACATATGATTTTCGGCCCTAGCACAAACTTTTTTCCACTTTCCCTCTCTGCTTGCATTGTTGGATGTCTATTTTCCCTCAACTCATATTCTCCTTGCTCCTCAGGAGTTACGAGGGCACGTTGGATGGCGACATGAGCGGCCCAGGGGACCAGTACTACTGGGGAGCCGGAGCCCCACTGGCGCAGGGGGAGAGGGGCAGCATGGCCTCGTTGGACAGCACTCTGAGGAAAGGTCCGGGTCCCGGCCCCGGAGGCTGGCGTCAGCCAGAGCTGCCAGAGGTCATCGCCATGCTGAACTACAGGCTGGACCCCGTCAGGAGCAACGCAGCGGCCTACCTGCAGCATCTCACCTACAAGAACGATAAAGTAAGAAGTGCAAGCGTATATGTTTATGGTTTATATCGTATCCAGTGTGATTTAGACTGGACTTTGACTCAGGGTAATTTGATGGGGAGTGCAGAGGGCAGAGCACCTTCTGTCATGACTCATGATAATGAGTCATGTGTCTTCTATGCTTGATATGGGCATGTATGATGGAAGAGCAAAACAGTCTGTTGTTTTTCTACCAGAGTGGGAGTCAAATAAGTAGTAGATGGGTAGAACACTTCATTTAAGAACGTTTTCAGAGGAAAGCTTTTTTTATTGCTTTTCTCTTATTGGATCATTATCTAAATCAAAATACTTTACTTTCCTGGGGGGAATTACGTTTTGTCACAGTTGCTCTATTTTCAAATGAAAAATTATTTTAAAGATAAAAAAAATGGATTGATTATTTAATAAGAAAGTTTCCTACCATCAACGCAACATAAAGTTTCTTCTTCCTTTTCTCTGTTATACGGCATAAGGCTCCAAAGTTGTTGAACTGACTAGAGAGGCGCTCATGTGAATTCAGGACCCCCTGCAGTTTGTTTTGTCCAAAGGCTATTCTAATAAAGTTTATTTGAAGATAACACACTGCTGCATCCTCAATAGTGTGGACAAAAGAGAGCAGTGTTACTTTGTACAGATCTACAAAGTAACACTGCTTTAGTGTCCCCCCCCCCGCCCGGAGCGGAGATTAAGAAGCAGTTTCTTACGGCGCGCTATGCATGGGGTTTCCAGACATGTCGTTTGTTTGTAGCCTTTATTTAACCAGGTGAAAATCCCATTGAGATCAACAATCTCTTTTTCAAGGGAGACCTGCAGCACATTGGTTACACAGAAAAACAACAGAAAACAAAAAGGACATCAATACAACATAATTACAGGGGTATACATTAGCAACCTATTCACAATGACAGATATCTAATAACATTTCATCTATCCGAGCTTTTAAATGATGCAAGGGAACCAAAATGCTCAGTTTCAATTTGTTTACATAGTGTTCCAAGCTAGAGGAGCAGCACACATAAAAGCTTTAGTACCTAAACAGTCCTAGCCCTTGGCACATGTAATAAAAACAGATCCTGGGATCTTAGGCAATAGCTACTTGCCACTCTCTGTGAGATCAAAGAGCATATATAAGTTGGTAGTTTACCCAGCATGGCTTTATAGATGAACATGTACCATATCGTTGCAGTAAATTAAAGGGTGTTTCATGTTGTCGTTGCTGTGGACCTTCTTAATCTACCTTCTTTGGGGGCCCCCTTCTGGTCCAAGCACTTGCCTGCCTTGCCTGTCGGCAAATGGCGCCCCTACACACACACACACACACACACACACACACACACACACACACACACACACACACACACACATACATACACACACACACACACACACACACACACACACACACACACACACACATACACATACACTTTCACATATACACACACACACACACACACAAAAGAACATATACATTAATTTACATCAGAATCAGAACGTTTTTATTTTTTTATTTTGTATAATTTTAATTTTTTCTAATGGGACACAAGGTTCGGTCCGGATTGATTTGCAGTTCGGTCCGGATTCGGTCCTTGGTCCAGAGTTTGAGAAGCCCTACAGTAGAGGAACAAAATACAAATATGAAACCTGAAAATGAGCATTGAGGGCCGCTTTAAAGCAGCCCCCTTCCACATCTCCGCTTTATGTCCATCCTTTTGTTTTCCAGGTCAAGACTGATGTGCGTCGAATGAAAGGCATCCCAGCACTCGTCTGTATGCTCGACAATCCAAACAGAGAGGTGAGTCCTGCTTTCTGTTCATTCCTTACTCAATAGAAGGGTGTTTGGACAGGACTAGGTGGGGTAAAAGAGAAGCTTAAGGGATGTAGTGTATTTGTTAAGTAACAGTGCGTGTGTTCATTGGACTCAGACAAGGTCAACTTAACAAAGGAACTAGAAATAAGCATTAAGTGTTTGACATCTTGACTTGGTCAAATCCTGTAGGTCAACATTTGTGCTAAATATGGTTTTGGCCAAAACATTCTGTACGTTTTTCTTTCTCCATGATTCCCTTTCATTTAGCAGAGGCTGTGGCTAGGTTTTGCTGATCTTAGTGTGGGCATTACCAGACAAACCACATCATACATTCCGTTCTGAAAGCAGAGAGACATCTAAATTTGACGTTACATGCTCTAGAGCCAGGGACAAGTTTGATGTCTGTGTGTGTCGGATGACTTACTGGCTGGAGAAATGGGTCAAACAGCGACTGCATCTTGAGAACGTTTCTAAAGAGGCCCTTTTCCTTTCCTATTAGTCTGTCGTATTTGTGCGGGCCCCTCAGGGTTTTGCAGTTGAGACGTTAAGCTCATTCTGATCCTATGGACCGATAAGACATATTTCAGATAATTCACAGATATAATGCATCTGACATGGTGGTAAACCAAGAGACAATCATGCTGTTGCTTCTCAGTTACACTCACGACATGTTTAGGTTGATGAGTTTTATTACACTAAACTATTGGACTGTTTGTCTTCATGAAATTGAGCCCTAAGGTAACGAGAGCTTCTCTTGAGATGTGTAGGTATTTTGGTATTTAGAAAAAACAAACAGATTTTTTCCATTAACATTTTTAACAGAAAACTCAGATAATAATCGTATTAATTCAGAAAAGCATGCATTACGTTTAAGGATATGGCCGACTATCGAATATACACGATGACTTGCACGAGTAGAAAACCTCAGAGCTGTGTAATCAGTGATGTACAATCTACCATAAAGACACGCCACTACTGCACTACTACTCCTACACTGAATCCATGTATGTGAGAGCAGTGCTCTGCCTTAGTGCTATTCCATTGTTACTCATGGCTCAATGACCTCTTAATGCGTCTTTGTTATAGGTTCACTACGCAGCCTGTGGAGCGCTAAAGAATATTTCTTATGGCAAAGACCACGACAACAAGATCGCCATCAAGAACTGCGACGGAGTGCCCGCTCTGGTCCGGTTGCTGAGGAAGACCCACGACCAAGACCTCACTGACATCATCACAGGTGAGAAGGTCACATGACCAATCAGCTCAAGAGTCACAATGCAGAGGTTTCTATTTTCAATGCACCAGTGGCGAGCCGTCAGGGCCCTCTAGGCCCTCTGTGAGGGCCTAAGATATTCTAAAAAATAATATTTGAAAACATAAAAAAATATATTTTTAAAAATATTTTTGTTGTTACATTTTTCATTAGTTTTACCAAAATAACTTGATTTAATTGTATTTAAAATAACATTTCCAAATAAATAAATCCTTCGAATCTGCCTGTTCAGTTTCTGTTGGAATGTGAAGGGTTAAATGCCGTCTCTGCGAGTTACTGTGAAGACGGGAGAGCTTGTTGGTCCCTCTCTACATTCACAGAGGGCCAGCTATAGTAACTCAACGAGAGAGTAATGTCAAATGACAGTACAATTGACCAATCATATCTTCCCTCTAAATGGGCGGGCTTTATTTTCGCGGACTTTATGACAAGTTCCGCCCGATGTGACGTCTATGCAAGTGGTGCAGTGACGCGCCCTAAAACCCGGAAGTAAGCTGCGCTCGGATTCCCTCGACAGAAAGCATTGGGATTTCTCCAGAGGATTTTGGAAAATAGCTGGAAATAAGGTCTGTGGAAAACGAACCTGTTAGATAAATGCACGTTTTGTTCAGCCGGATAATATCCACATGTCTACCCTACTTTTATTATTTTCGAATCATAAATCTAATCGATAGATTTATGATCGATAGATTTATGATTAGCATAAATTCGTTCATGATGGCTCACTTCAGTGATAGTGATGACATCGTTTGCAAAATTATTAACCGAGTCATTTTCAAGATTGAGTTACAATGATAAACTGGAGTGGCAAAGGATCAGCTGAATGACCCGCAAGTGCTTCATCCAAAAGGACAGGAGGATGGACTTTGTGTTTAAGTGATTTGTCATCAAAGGTAGGCCTAAGTCATTTTCAATGTGGGCCGGCGTGCCGACTTAATTCATTTGTAATTGTTACTTGGCTGTGGGTGCCCTGTCATGATAGGTGTTTATATAAATGGTGTTGTTTTGTGTGGTAGAGGGTCGCTGTCATTAATGCGTTTTGCACCCCGGGCCGCTGTTGTGATATTCCGCTGAAGTATACGCTGTGACGTAATAACTCTTCTTTTTTTTCGAGGGAAGGGGGGTCAGAGGGCCTAGGTATAAAAGTCACGGCTCGCCACTGCAATGCACAGTAGCTAAAGTGTAGTTGTTGGCAATAGTAGGGATCGAGTGATATGGCTTTTTCAAGGCCGATACCGATTATTAGTAATCAAGGAGACCGATAACCGATATTTGGAACCGATATATATTTGCAGTAAAATCAGAAAATCTTGGTGTCAAAATATCTCGGCGGTTGACCTGTCACAACAGAGCTAACTGGCTAAGTGCAACTGATACAGTGGTGCAAGTAAAATACAGGAATAAGCAAAGATTGGAGAAATGGAATCAGTGAAAACATGAACACATTCATTCAAATTAAATTGTCCGGCCAGAGCAAAAGCACCACATACGTCACGCTTACGTCGAGGCGGGGGCAGAGACAGATAAACTCCTGAACAACAACAAAAAGCCCGCGTTTTATCCAGTTTGTACCATAGGTTTGTACACAACGATGGAGAAACTTAACCAGAGTTTCAGAGTTTCTGCCATAGACTGTATATATAAAGGTTTCTGCTCATGGTGAAGCAACGTGTCTGCGTGTTAAGGTGGAACCTGAGCATTCACGTTGATCACCTCTCATTATAAATCTATAAAACTATAAATATTAAACTTTACTTCACGTGTTCATTTGAGAACAGCTTTTACATACCTGGGTGAAGGTTACAGTTCATTTAAATGAAAGATACAACGTTACTCCACACTCATGGTTCAGTCCACCTTAAGAAATAAGACCGACCTCGGAAGCAGTTGTGTTTTTAAAAAAACCTTTATTGACACGAGTACACTTTTTTATAAGAATATAACTAAACCACAGAAATGACTCCGGAAAAGATGCAGATAGAGCCATAAGAAATGAATGCAACTGATTTCATCTGCGCGGTTTGGCTTTATGAAGCAGGCACGCAAACGGTTACGTCATGACGCAACGACGCAACGACGCATTACCAGTCGGACTCTGGGCGGTGTGAAAAGAGCCAGAGCTAAACCGAAGAACTGGTTCTGAACCTGAAAAGCTCTAGCACGGAGCTTGAACCGGAGTTGCGTTGGTGTGAATGAGGTATATATCTTCCCTCCTAAAAGGGGTAAATTAATAATCTCAAAGCAATGATAAACCTGTGAGTAGGATGTAGAAAAGTCAGAGTCAATATAGATTTTTTTTATTTTAAAGTAAATTCAGATTGAACCTTTATATATACAGTCTATGGATTGAACATAGTACAAAAATGTAAATTATAGTGTCCGTCCAAAGAAAACCATTACTTAAAATGAAAACCACCCTTGAATGATGGGATCGGAGACTAAAAGCTTTAGGAGTCCAAACTATAACATATAATAAGTACCCTGTATCTAGATTGATGCAAAACAAGTGACATTTGACCTTTTTAGAGAGATTAAGAAAAAACCCCACCTCTGGGGTCATTTGGGTGCATTTTCCTTATCTCTGGAACCCATCGCACGATTTTGATGATTGACATCTCTTTTTAACCGTTAGAGCCAATATTTGCTTCCCCTGTCGCGAGTTCTGATCGCTCAGTGATGATACTTATATGTCTGGAATCTGTGTAATCTCAGTTTGCTAATCAATATCTTGTTTGTAAAGATACGATAAGTAATACGGGTATTTTACCTTGAGTTCTATGCTAATTGCGTTAGCATTCTTCGTTCAGGGCTAATTCAGAGCCTTTGTTATCACCCTTTTGTTTCATTTAGCTAAGCATGGTTAATATTGTCTGAAAGCTGAGTTTATTCCCGTTAAGTGGGTATGACACATTCATAGTTTATTAAATGTTAAGAAGCCCCCAGACGCTGTTTCTTGCAAGATGTTGCGTTTTGCCCCCGCCCGCGGGGCCGTGGGGTTTAACTGGTTTTAAATGCTTTATTGTGAAGCTTAATTTCTAGAAGGTATCAAAACATGGTATTACTGTGCTACTTTTCCATTAAAGCCAACATAATGCCAAAAGACAAAATAATGACTCTCTAACAGTGGTTTTCAAACTGTGGGGGCGCGACCCCTGGTGGGTCGCGGAGATACTGCAGGGGGGTCGCGGGAAGATTTTATTATTTTCTCCTTTTAGCTTTGTGAAGCACCTTGTGAGATGACGTTGTTTTTAAAGTGTGCTATATAAATCAAATGTATTATTATTATTATTATTATTATTATTCAATTGTAAACAAACACTGCTCGAAAATATCTCATTGGTCAGTGGGCATACTGCTGCCTTTTGCAACATCCTACTTGTGTGAGATAGGCTTTTTCTGCTGTTGCTGCCATCAAAACGAAATACAGATCAAAGCTGAACATTGAGAATGAACTGAGAGTGGCAGTCTCAAAACAACAGCCCCAGTTTGAGAAGATCTGCAAGGGAAAGCAAGCACACACAAGTCATTGATAAGCTATGTGTGGAATAGGAATGGTAAAGTGATGTGATCGTTTGCAACCTGCAGTAGAAATAGTAGTTAATTAATATATTTTCCTTAAAGAAATTTGAATTTAAAAATCTGCTACTCAGGGAAGAAGGCCAACCAGTTTTAATTAGGCCAAATTAATTCACAGTATCTATTACAAGCAAGTTTCTTCATGTGTAATCCATAATGAAATATAAAATGATAGTTGGATCTTTGTATCTTCTTATTATCAGCAGAGAAAAATGTAATGTTTTTACAACAATATACAATTAATCCTACCAATATAGATGGGAACCGGGTTGGGGGGGTTCCTGAAAATATTTCCAATTACCCAAGGGGGGCCCGACTGAAAAAGTTTGGGAACCACTGCTCTAAAATATAACTATTAAATAAAGTATAACTCAATATTATCTGTTTTCACCAGGGACGCTGTGGAACCTGTCGTCTCACGACTCGGTGAAGATGGAGATCGTGGACCACGCACTCCACGCCCTCTCCGACGAGGTGATGGTGCCCCATTCTGGCTGGGAGCGAGGGAGCAACGGAGCGGGAGGGGGGGGAGGAGAACTGCAAGCCCAGACACCTGGAGTGGGAGACGGCCCTCACCAACACGGCTGGCTGTCTGAGGTAAGGGAGGAGCAGGGCTATTCAATTACACATTCAGTTGGGCCAGACATTCAGCGGCCTGTAAAAAGCGGGTAATGACACATTTTAAACTAACACATATTACTGCGATGAAAAACATGCCATTTTTATTCATTGTTCATCTAACAAAGGTACGTCAAAAAGTGCATAAAAATACAACAAATTAGCATTAATTTAACAGAATCTGAGGCATCTCAAAGTGCATACAAAAAGTGCACAGTTGTAGCATTACATTTGTTTGCTTTAGAAGTACAATATTCAGGTTAATTTTTTTTGAACCAGGTACATCACAAAGTGCATTTAACTGAATACAATATTGGCAGTCTTAATGAATGTCCTCACATACAAAATAAAATTGGATACATATGACACATGCACATCAAAATTGGACATTGGTGAAGAGTGCTGTCAGACAGGGAGCAGTGAGTGCTACTTTGTATTGAGTTAATGTGTGAAAAGCTTGATTCACATTTGTATGTTGATCCAAATATACTGAGCACACAGATCGCTACTTTCTGAACATTAGAGAACTGCTGTTTTTTGACATCACTCCAAAACTTCGCTGGCCCGTTAGTGCGCTGCTCTTGTGCCATGGTTACGGATGAATGCATGTCAATAAGTTCCAGTGTAAATGTCCCCTCGTCGATGGAGGGGACCACTTCCTTTGCTTTGGTGGATACGTCCCCCTCTATTGCAACAGTGAAGGGGTCTCTGGCAAAGCCCATCACCTCTGTGGGCAGAGCAAGTCCATCCAATCGACCGGCAAAGTTCTCTTTCAACCTCGCAATGAAATCTGTCATCACATCTGTGATTTGTGCCGGGGATGTGATGTGTTTGTGGAGCGTTGGAAAATGCAGCATCCGACCCGTACTCAAGTTGGCCGTGAAAAGGTCCAGCTTGACTTGGAATGCGCGCATCTGCTCCACAAGATCAATGACCGTTTTGTCTCTGTTTACGCTTCAGAGTTAAGTTGCTATCATAGGGCCACCGTTACTAGTACCACTAGATGCACTTTGAAAAAACGTGCTGCGTTTTGGTTTGGTGGTTTCTATGCAACGCGGAGTGTCGCGTTCATGGTCTGTACTGCCGTGGGAGGCTGGGCCGTATCTGGCCCGCGGGCCGCCATTTTGAATAGGCCTGAGGTAGAGGATGTGAGGAGGGAGGGTTCATGTACTGAGGAAGATGGAAACAGGCCTGCTCAACAGAGTGGCAGAGCAGCGGGGTGGATGAGGAAGGCAATAACAATTCAACCGAATAGAAAAGAATGCGCCAATCAGCTGACTGGCCCATTCTACAAGCTTTTGTTGCACTTCAAGGAATACTTCACCAGCTAACTGTACATTTGTACATAATCTCTCACCCCATGTTAGCTTTTAAACTCTTGTACAGACTTAATTTTCCTAAAATGCCCTCTGTTGCAAATATGGTAAATTCTTGATAAATGTAAGTTAACAGAAGCCGTGCTCAACAAAAACAAAACTATATAAAAACATCAGTTTACAGACTCTCGTTCAGCTTAATCCTTAAACTCTTTTATAAAACACTTCAATGAAGATCGTTTGTGTGAAAGTGCTTTGAATGATACAGTTTTCGCAAAAATGATTATGTCAAGAAGAAGGAAAAGTTAGTTTTGCTGTTAGACAAGGCCCACATTTAATACAATTCCACATTTTATTTAAAAGGTTTTTCAGGTACTTAGGGTAACATGTGATAAACAAATAATGAACAAATGGTTCTTTTGTGGGATTATAATGTTGCTTCCGATTGCTTTCTAAAAAAATGTTTGGGATAATTATCCACATTGACAGCATTTAAACCAAACGTATAGAAAGCTACTCTTTCAGTAAAAATAAATAGAAGGATTCATGTGGTTTATTGTGCACGTCAGAAGCCTTTACTTTGACAGAAGATCTTATTTGTTTGGATATAGTGCCCATTAAAAGACTTAAAGGTTATTTATTAAATATAATATCTGCTTATATTTAATAGAAGTGTGTCCTCACATTGACTCTGTGAGACCGGGGGAGAAGGATTCACAGGGAGAGGCGAGCAGAGGACGGTGGGGCATTGACTCGCACAGTGTAAACAGTCTGTTCAGCCTGTTATCTATGCATTCCCTTTGACCACTCGGTTCATTACAGAGAAGTATGTGGGAATAACTCTGTATGTTAAAGGTTTATAAAGTTCAGTATTCCCCGCAATGATCTGGACAGTATCATACACTTATGACCAGACGCTTGAGTTCAAGATCATTACAAATAAAATTGACCAAGAGTAGCACCGCATAATATGTAAAAACATAGCTTATTGCGATTATATGACTGGTTTTTAAATTGCGGTATGGTTCTCTAAATAAGAGGGAATGACCCTATTTGTAACACAATTTGCATTATCCTTGAAAAGTCCAGGGACTACAGATAAAAAATAGCCTCTTGGCAAATTTACAGAAATGTGTAATAATGTGCAGTATCCCTGTTAATTAAATACAAATATTTAAAATGATCATGGTGTAATTTACTAAGAGGATCAGTAACAAACACGTGCTTTTTAATACATCTTTAAAATACTATTTGTAGATCTAATTAGGTAATGTAGAGAAAATGTGTTTTGAAACTGAGTCTATATACAAATTAGACTTTATTTTGGTTTAGTCTTTTAAGAAGAGTTTTTTTTAATATGACTTGGGAATTTCAGAAAGGCAAAGAAATGAACATAAAGTATAGTACTTGTCAAAAGCCACGTTCAGATGTTGCCTCAATGGGACTCACACTGACAGTAGTATGTAACACTGACGCTTCTATTGGCTATTGCTCCAACACATTTAACGTGATAGGCTAAGTTGCGGGTATCTCCAGCAGGTTGACCAATCACAAGAGAGCCAGCCAGCTAACCAATCAGAGCAGACTGGTCTCTGGTTTCAGACAGAGGGTGAAAAGAGGTGCTGCAGCACAGGTAGTATGAGGAAAAATAAAGAGCTTTTTGAACATAGAAGCATGGAAACATGTCACAGTAGGGCAGGGGTGCCCAACCTTTTTTGAACCGAGAGCTACTTTTAAAGTTGCCAGTCTGCCGAGATCTACCAGTCCAAATAGAGAGGCGTAGCCATTACTGACAGCCTACTACCAGGTAAATACACACTTCTACTTGTATAAAACTGACCTTTGTACGGTTAATACTCCATAAACTACTGCAGATCCTTTATCTTACCTCTTTCTAATCTACACACATACAAGTATTTAACTGAAGTTACACAACAGTGTTGTTGATACAGAGTTGGAGTTTATTCACACGTCACATACTACAGTGGGTCATGTTTTCAAGAAACATTGAACAGTGCTGCCACATATGACACAGGAAAAAAAGAAAATACTCTGAACCCTTTCTTTGCCATTCAAATTAGGCTTACTAATAAGACAACTCAGATCTGAAGCTACACAGGAATCTGCTGCCAAAGTGCAATACAAAAGACGAAATTAATAGAATCAAACCCTTTTTTGTTGCATTTTATTAGAGTATAAAAAGAAATGCCTTTAAAATAGGATGCAAGCAACACTAGTTTCTTAACCTTAATTGATGATAGACTATAATCAATTTAAGTTTGCATTCTTATACCATTTTGTACAATAATTATAATGAATAAGTTCAAACAAACTAAAACTTACAGCAGATTAATAACGGTATCTAACTTGAGTTTTTATTATATCAAAAACCTGTTGAAATGCTACTGTTATTTTTACTGTCCCCCAAAAGCCCGTCGGCAGCCTCCAGGAATGCTTCTTTCACAACTTCGCCGTCTTTGAAAGACTTCATGTGTTTCGCAAGAACGTGACTGACACGATAAGATGCTATGGTAGCAGCCTTGCTCTTGTTGTTGGGCCTGGTGAAAATGGACTGCTGTGCATTTAGCTGTCCTTTCAGGCCCCTCCCCTTTTGGAGCGTAGGGCAGAATTAGGAGGGAATTCCGTCTCGTAGCGTTTGTGCACTGTTTTGAAATGCCGCTCCTAAATTACCCTTCTTCGATAAAGCCACGCTCGCATTGCAGATGAGAGACAGATGGACTTTGAATTGGAATAGATACAAAAATAATCATCCTCCCACTTAGAGTGAAAATTATATATTGTGGGCTTTTTTGCTTCTGCCATAAGTGCGGTCTTGTGTGTGTGCGGAATGTCACTCCTGTTGCCACGGACAATGTCAGCGCACTAGTGCCCACTGCCCACCAGCCACGCCCCGACACATGGGGTCACGCCGGCCAATCACAAAGCTTTGATGCGTTCAAGTGCATTATTCTGGCACAGGAATATTATGTTATAGGACATTAACGATAAAACAAAATATTGTTGTTCTATTTTTAGACACATCTCGCGATCGACTGGGAATCTCCCCGCGATCGATCGACTGGTTGGACACCCCTGCAGTAGAGGCACCACGTACACATATGAACCTGAAAATTAACATAATATGGCCCCTTTAAGTAACTTGCTGAAAGTGGTTGCTCCAGACTCCATTGACAAAATAAGTAAATTACTCGCCAAACATAAAAGTTGCTTGTATCTACTGTTGCCTTGATTCGTCAGCCATATTGTGTTATTGTGTGACTAGTTAAACCGAACTAACCCTTAAAACACCAAAGTCACACAATAACACAAACCTTTGTTTGCCGCCTACAACGTGTAAACAAACCTCCTGAACTACGCAGTGAGGTTAAATCATTGCCCCATCCTCTGGTAGGAAATGTGTCCTGGCATTGTGTGAGAGGGGCGGGGCCTGTCACTGGGAATATCGAGCCAAAACAAAAGAGCAAGGCTGAGTATCATTCCAAACAGCCCCCCCCCCCCATCTTCCTTTCTTTACATGCCTTCCTCACCAATGAATGAACTCACCGGGTCTCAGTTTCAACAAGTTTCAATCCATCCTGTCCTAAGTAGCACTGAGTCATAGAGAAATTGGTCCAGAGCTGAAACTGGATCCCCCCCAAACTGTACTCTCTTTGTAAAGCAGGAGTTTCATTCAAACAACTCTTAAGGTGGGGGCGTGTTCAAGCATTGTGTGCAGGAATCCTTTTGTAGTCATTTTAAATGAACTCTTTTCCCTCCTCTCTCACCTTTAACCTCTTTAACCGCCTCAATTATTCCCCCGACCTTTCACACCACTAATCCACGTTTTGTTTTACATTCTCCTCTTCTCAACTTTCCTCTATGCTGAAGAAATGTGAGTTCAGAGCGGAGCGAGGCACGGAGGAAGCTGAGGGAGTGCACGGGATTGGTGGATTCGCTCATGTACATCGTCCAATCCCAGATTGACTGTAAAGACGTCGACAACAAGGTAAATGAAACTCTGATCTGTTTGCCCGTCTATTTTTTTTATTTTCTGTAAAGGACGACCACCAGGTTTTTTTTTAAAATTAATGTTGTATCTAGCAGGAACAAATTAAGACACTGCTCTACAATCATCAGCATAATAGTGGGGTTGTGTTCAATTTACATTTCAATAAACTACTAATGACTGGGTTCTTAAATGTAATAAAGATTACATTTAAAGTAATTTATTTGAAGAAAAGGACAACTGGTCACATGCTGTGTTTTTAGAAGGTATTAACTAAAGACATCAATATTTTGTCTCCACCTGTCTTTCACTTTACTACTTGGTGACTCAGAAATACTTTTTACTTTGTTATTAAATCTAAATATTATTATATACATTTTAATAAACTGTTATATTAACATAGAGTTAAAGTAAAAATGTGCAAATTATACTACAATATATATATACAACAATAAACATGTAATAAAGTGTATATTACAGTATATAAAGTAGAAGTAGTGTATTTGTATTAATAATGCTAAAAATCTGTTTATATGACTCAAACATGTTTTTATTTCTGGGGGAAATTTTATTTTATAACAGTTGCTCTAATTAATTTTATTTTAACCTGCATATAGTCAATTTAAAATAAAAAATATCTATAAACATAGAGTAGTTAAAGTACCAATGTGCACATTGTACTATAAAACATAATGATGAATATGAAACATGAGTGTTGACTATATTAATGCTGAAAACCCCATTCTTACACAAAATGTAAGAACAGTTATGAGTATTGCTCTGATTGATAATGAATTGAGAATATGACACAGTTGAATAAATACTGCAGAGTATTGCTTAATCCATATTTCACAGTTTAGAAGGGATCAATCTGCTCCACTGCAACACCCCAGCAGCTTGGCTCTGTGTGATGATGCGTGTTTGTGACTAATCTTTATCACGATCACATTCCAGATGTTTTAAAAACACGTTGCATGGCAATAATTCCCCCTCGTCTCTTCTCTCCACCTCACCCGCCGTTTTCCCTCCGTATTTGCAGCTGATAGAGAACAGCGTGTGTCTGCTGAGGAACCTGTCCTATCACGTGCACCGTGAAATCCCCGGCTGTGAGCGATACCAGGAGGCCGCGCCCCTCAACCAGGGCCCCGCCCCCTCCAGCCAGAAGGGAGGCTGCTTCAGCTCCCGCAAGAGCAAAGGTCTGTGTCACAGAGAGTCAGGAGGAGGAGCAACATCTCTGGGGGGGTGTCACAGCACACACACACACACACACACACACACACACACACACACACACACACACACACACACACACACACACACACACACACAACCACTCGCTCACTCAGGAATGTCAGCAATTTCCCCAACTCTGAGAAAGCTCATCCTCTCTCCTGCTGCACTCTGTTTGTGTTTCGCTGAGAGTACAACCCCCCCATCCCCCTTTCTACTGTTTTGTGGCTTTGACCATGTTATTATAAAGTCCCTCAGCATCTGTCTACAGTGTTAATACCCTCCCTCATAGTTTCCCTTTTGTTCCTTTTACTTTGATATAATGAGGCAATACAGAACATAAAAGTAAAATATGAATATCTATGTTTTCCCTTCTGTCTCCCCATTTCAACTGTGTCTCTACAATGAAGGCACTGGTTTCCTCAAAAGAAATATTGTTAAAAAGTGACGGCGTCGGCTTGTTTAATGTATACATATTTTCTAGTTACACAAGTCTATTGATGGTACTCGTTTTATTCGAAATAGCCTGCTTTTCACTGAAATATAAACATACATGATTCTTTATATAATCTTTCTATCAATGGTTTTTAAGCTTGACAATAAACAGATAACATTCGACATTTTGAAAGCACACACAGTTTATTAGTTTGTGGATGAAATGCTTTTCTGTGTATTTATAATATTCAGGTCGGTTAAACGGAAACATATAACCACAACAAACTGGTGTGTGTGTGTGTGTGTGTGTGTGTGTGTGTGTGTGTGTGTGTGTGTGTGTGTGTGTGTGTGTGTGTGTGTGTGTGTGTGTGTGTGTGTGTGTGTGTGTGTGTGTGTGTGTGTGTGTGTGTGTGTGTGTGTGTGTGTGTGTGTGTGTGTGTATGTGTGTGTGTGTGTGTGGTGTGTGTGTGTGTGTGTGTGTGGTGTGTGTGTGTGTGTGTGTGTGTGTGTGGTGTGTGTGTGTGTGTGTGTAAAATGACCTGCTTTAATTGGCCTTCACACTTGGCATGTCTCATTGCTGATCTGTGTGTGGTGGCAGGAAGTGCTGTCGGGATTTGAGCAGGTGTTAACTGGGTGGCTCAGTTATGGCTGCTTTCCTCTTACTTACTATAAATGCTTCCTCTTCCTGTCTTCCTCTCCTTATCTCCCGCTTTCTGCGCTGGGCTACAGATGAGTGGTTTTCCAAAGGTAAGCTCTTTATCTCTGTATGACTGCACTTTGCTTCCGCTGCCTGCTGTTGTCGTAGTAATGGAGTAGATGACTAGCTAACAGGTCGGTAGTACTAACATGCACGCCTCACGCATCTCAGTGTTCAGTCATAGCATTAATTTCACCTAACGAGAATAAACAGAACTAATTAATCTAAATAAATGTATTATATTTAGATTCTGTGTTCAATTTCAGGTAAGAAAGATGACGATGCAGCTGCAGACATAATAGACATTCCAAAGAGGACCGTGCCTGCTAAAGGTAACTACACACGTTTACAGTACATAAAAACTAAGAAGAATTATGTATTTCTTCAAAATATGTATACGTTTGCTTACCACTTCATCTTCCCCTCTCTTTCCTGCTATCCTCACTTTCTTCCCCCACTCTCTTCTTCCCCCCTGCAGGCTACGAGCTGTTGTTCCAGCCCGAGGTGGTCCGCATCTACACCTCTCTGCTAAAAGAGTCCAAGAACCCCACCGTGCTGGAGGCCTCGGCCGGAGCTGTTCAGAACCTGTGTGCCGGACGCTGGACCGTAAGACCTCCTATCCATTATCATCTTCTTCCTATTTCTCCAACACTCCCTGTGCTGAGGAAACACACACTGTTCTAAGATGCATTCACATAATAAGGGATTCTGTCTTTACTCACTCAGGTTGGGCGAAAACAAGTCAGTTCCATTTAGATTTTATGGTTAGCTCCCCTGCTATCTTATGCCGCTACATACAGCTCTCATCTGATTGGTTGAACATGGGAAGGTCTGTGATGTCAAAGTGAATTAACTTGAACTTTGAGCGGTGCGCAGCGCCGAGGGGGAGCGCTTCCTCCACAGAAACAAAACGGTGACATCGGCACAGAGCCGTTTGGCTGCTTGTCAAGTGAATGAAGCTTTAGATTGTAAGAACCCGAGCTAACATGGACCTGTGTACAGCTCCTAAATCATGCAGCATGTCTAACAGTAGGATGTTAGTCATTCAAATCTTTAAATGTTTTGGGAATGGACTAAGGCTTTTTTCTTGGAATTGTCCATGACCCCAAATACCTCTTATTTGATCTTGTCAATCCACTCATTACTGCAGAGGAAACAGTAACTCCTGGGTTAAAGGACTTATGTCCAGTCTTGAATGACTTTATAAGGACTGTGGCTAAGAGGTGAAGACTGCTGCATGTAGATTAGTGAATGGAATAATCCGGGGAAATGGGAGTTTGAATACTAGTTGTTCAATAATAATAATAATAATAATAGATGCATTTTGTTAGCGCTTTTACAGGTGCTCGAAGACGCTTTACAGATATAGTGAAAAGAAAAAAACAACAAATAAATATATATAGTTAAAGTCAAATAATACAAAAACAATCACACATTAAAAGCCAGATTGAAGAGGTGAGTTTTTGTAAGTGTTTTGAAGGTGGTGAGGTCAGTGCAGTCTCTGGTGGGTTGGGGGAGTGAGTTCCAGAGGGAGGGGGTAGCGACAGAGAAGGCTCTGATTGATGCGGGTGGGGATGGATAGGAGGTTGGCTTCTGATGAGCGGAGGCAGCGGGAAGGGGTGTGGTGGTGCAGCAGGTCTGTGAGGTAGGGGGGGGACCTGATTGTTGAGGGCTTTGTGAGTAATGAGGAGGACTTTGAAGTTGATTCTTTGACGGACGGGGAGCCAGTGGAGGTTCTGGAGGACGGGAGTGATGTGGTCTCGGGAGCGGGTGTGGGGGAGGAGGCGGGCAGCAGAGTTCTGGATATGTTGGAGTTTATTGAGGAGGTTGGATGGTATGCCGTAGAGCAGGGGTTCCCAAACTTTTTTCCTAAGAGCCCCCCCAACTGACTCCTATTGGAAGTTGCACCTATATGATATTTGGCCTCAAATCATCTGAGGCCTGGCGCCCCCCCTGCGATCTTTGGCGCCCCCCAGGTTGGGAACCACTGCCGTAGAGAATGCTATTGCAGTAGTCGAGTTGTGATGTGATGAATCTATGAATCAGGGTTTCAGCAGCAGAGGAGGAGAGTGATGGGTGGAGACGGCCAATGTTTTTGAGGTGGAAAAAGGCGGTCCTGGTGATGTGATAAATGTGGTGGTTGAATTTGAGCTGACTGTCGAAGACGACTCCGAGGTTGCAGATGTGAGGGGGGGAGATAGAGTGTGGCTGTCAATGGTGAAGTTGAAATTCTGGATGGCTTTGGTACGGGATGGGGGGCCGATGATGATGATGTCTGATTTGGCAATGTTCAGTTGGAGATAGTTTGTTTGCATCCATGCTTTTATTTCTGAGAGACAGTTGGTGAGAGTGGAGTGTGTTGTGGGGGTGATGGTTTTTGTTGAGATATAAAGTTGGATGTCATCGGCGTAGCAGTGAAATTGAAGGTTGTGGCGACGAATGATTTTGCCAAGGGGGAGCATGTAGAGGATGAAGAGGAGGGGGCCAAGCACCGAACCCTGAGGGACGCCTTGGGACAGAGGAGCAGTGGAGGAGGTGCAGTTGTTGATGTTGATAAACTGATGTCTGTCGGTGAGGTAGGATTTCAGCCAGGAGAGTGCAGTGTCGGTGATGTTGAGTGATGATTCGAGGAGGGACAATAAGTAATAAGTCTCCTTAGGGTAAACGCCTACTGCCATTCTTAACGGCCCTCAAATAATAATACATTGTTATAATTTAGCTACCTACTTTATGCACATTTAACAATAATCTGTAGGGTTGTACCAATGCATCTATCTGGAGATATCAATCACTGCAAAGTTATAATCATCATCTTCAAGAAATGCCTTTATTTAGAAATGTCCACTCCACATTGTGTTCAAGCCCACCTCCTTAAATGTGAGAAATTAAGCACTAGAGGTATGTCAATTGTTTTTCATTGAAATACCTTGAAGAGCCCAGTAATACAATTGTCTAACCCTATTGTAGTTATGTGAGTTTATACAAATGGGAGGGATTGTGGGGCTGAATTTATTTAAATCAAAAATAATTATTGCCAAAGAATCGATAACATTTTGTAACTTGTGATTATCATCCCTAAGAATCAGTCCTTTTGCACTTGTTTATATATATATAAGAATATATTGAAAAGGTTAGAAATAATTGTATTGCTTTGTAAAAGGAGACCACTTAATCATGCGTTTACACACAATAGTCTTAAAGGTCCCTTATAGCACAGTGGTGTGTCTATTCAGTAGAGCTCCTTGAGCAGGAAATACACACATTGCTCTCATAAAATGCAACAGTCTGTGTCATAAAGAGTACTTAATGCTCTGATTTAATGAAGGAAAATGGTCTGTTTCAGTATGGGCGCTACATCCGCGCCTTGCTGCGGCACGAGAAGGGGCTACCCATGATGACGGAGCTGCTCGCCCACGGCAACGACCGCGTGGTCCGTGCCATGTCCGGAGCCCTGCGCAACATGGCCATCGACGCTCGCAACAGAGATCTCCTAGGTGAGACTAGGAGGGAAGGAGCTAAAAGCGTCAGTATTTGAGTATATTATCAACATTTTTAACGCTCTTCTCATGCTGCTGTTGTCAGGGAAACACGCGGTGCCTCACCTGGTGGCCAACCTGCCCGGCGGCGGGCAGAGTCAGCCGGTGCGAGCGCTGTCGGAGGAGACGGTGGTGTCGGTGTTGAGCACGCTCCAGGAGGTGCTGGGCTCCAGCCTGGAGTCTGCCAAGACCCTCAGATCCTCGCAGGGGATCGAGAGACTCGTGCTCATCAACAAGGACGGGTAAGGGTTCATGTTTGAGATCATTCTCTGCCGGGTCACATTCACAACCAGGGTAATTGCCAAGTGGGTTTACACATGGACATTTGATTTAGTGTTTAATGGTGCATAGATAAACACAGTAAGAGGAATTAGGCTCTAAAAAAGGAGAAAATGTAGGACTATTTTGAAAGCTATTATTTGAAATACATTTACAAACAAATAAGTGCAACAATAATGTGAGAAATTACTATTAAAGAATATAATAATGTGCATTATATCTGAATTTAGGTGTGGAAGAGCTGTGCAATTTTTAAAAGAGGTGTTTTACAGGTTTTTCGCCAGATAAACCTGCACTTTTTGAAATGCTTGCATCCATTATGAGTTTAAAAAAAGAAAAGTAATTATTGTTCATAAAAATACTATAATCATAAGAGAAGAAAGGATGGTCTTAGCCTATTTGCTAACTTCTATCTGCAGTCCCTCCCTGGGCAGATACACAACTAACAATGAAACTAACAGTGAAAACATTAAACAGTTTTACACTTAAAATTGTAAAACTGATCAAATACAAATAAATACAGTACATATACAATGTTACAGTTCATTGCAACTAATACCACCATTTGCAGTCAAGGCATGACTGTTTGCTCAATAGCCATTTTGTAGCACCATGGGAACAAGAAAGAAAGTCTGTGCTTGTTTAAAGGTCAGCTAGAAGCATATTCCAATGCTTGATTGTTGTAAATGAGAAGGCAGATTGTGCGAAGTCATTCAGTCAGGGTGCTTTAAGGATTTGTTATCAAACACTTTTTATGAAAAACCTCACTTGGTTTCAGCACAGTCTCACTTGAGACCAGCAGGTTATGCAATACTGAAGATTTAAGAGAATCATAGCGTGCAACAATGTTTTAGGTGCTTCTATAGTTAGATTGTTATTGTGAGAATATGTCTCACTCCCTTCCCTCTCCAGGAATCGCTCTGAGCGGGAGGTGCGTGGAGCCGGCCTGGTGCTGCAGACCGTGTGGGGCTACAAGGAGCTGCGGCGCACTTTGGAGAAGGACGGCTGGAAGAAGACGGACTTCATGGTCAACCTCAACCCCCCCAGCAACAACACCAGGGCCAACGGAGGATACGAGGACAGCACCCTGCCGCTCATAGACAAAGGTCAGGAGCCAGAGTGGAAGCAAGTGTTTGATGTCTATTCAGTAAAAGGATTGTTTGTTGAGAAGAATTTGCCTGGCCTCCTTACATTGTTTCTCTAAGCCACTTCAGACACCTTTTAAAATAGACCTTTCCAACTGGTAATCTTTCAAGCTTTTAGCTTGATCCTAATTGTGATGACTTGTCTGGCTTGTGAAGCTGGCTTGATGTTGTCCTTCTGGAGTCAAAATATAACAATTAACAGAGGAAATAGGCCTTTCAGAGGTAAAACAAATCAAAAACCAAAGAAGAAACTCAAACAAGATGATTCAATTGTCTTTTTTTCTATTAAATATATTTTAATCTCAAAGAATTCAACGGTTAAGAACTTTCTCGAGCTTTCACGCTGCTGTAGAGCTCACCTTTCAGACCTGGCGGCCCATGTATTGGGGCTCAGTTACTGTGCGGAGAACCCAGGTTTGAATCCGGCCTGCAACCGTTTACACATTGCATCCACTCGGTCTCCCCTTTCAACACTGTCACTTTCCAATAAAGGCTAATCCGGCCTAAATAAGAGAACACTGTTGTTGGCATCTTCCACACAGTTTGACCATATTTGTCTCTTTTAATAGGCTTCCTCTTCACTTTGTCCCAAAACAAAACTTGCTCTAACAGCATTATTAGTTCATAGTATATTTCATTGTTAATTTAACGTCAAAAACACAAAGATGACTTATTGTATACTGGTAAAAGTTAAACCGTTGGGGGTTAGATGTAGATCTTTAGATGTAGCTTTTTATTTGACTTATGAATGACTTTGCACACAGGTCAGATTCTGGTTGATTAAAGACTGATTTAATGAAGATATGGAGTTTCCCCCTTTTGATGTAGGGCATTGAATAGCTCTAATTCTAGTGTTTCTTTTGGGGAAACACTAGAATTAATCTCCACAGTAATGCTTCACATTTTACAAATGTAACTGATGTTTTAAAAATAATCTGCACTCCATTTCCACGTGCTACAGATAATAAGTTATTCATATAATATGACAATAGGCTGTTTGCAGACTTTTAGGGAATGAAATGGGAGTTGTAATGGACTCGTTTGTCTCAACCTGCTTATCATAGGACACATTAAAGGGTTTACCACTGTGGGGATTTTAAGATAATCCTTAACAGGGTTATCTGTCATTACGTTTATGGAAAAGAAAAATCCCCTTCAAATGTTCAAAACATCTTTTAAGCTATTTGGCCCTGATTTGTAAAGTTACTAAAATCCACCCATCACACAGTGTAAATGATATATTTGCAAAAACTCGCTGGCTCATGTCTGACACTTGAAACTCTTCCAAAACACTCACACACCTACACACTGATCTATCTTTGGCAGGAGATGGTCCGGCTGCTAACACTGGCTCTCTAACAGCTATAACATTTCTCATTACATGTCCATGCTCAGTGTTTTTGTCTCTTTTTTGTACACACAGGGGGCAAAGGGGACCGGGAAATGATTCCACTGAACGACATGGGACCAGGCAAGTGGGACAATTAAAAAAACACACGCACACAGCTTTATAATAGGCTAACTTGTCAATGTTAGTGAGATTACAAACACCTGTGGTTTAACATATGATTTTCTCCCTCAGATGCCTACTCCACACTGGACCAGAGAGGCAGAAGGAACACTCTGGATAACACACTCGAACCTGCTGACAGAAATGCAGTACAGGTAAAAACCCGGACACACACACACACACACACACACACACACACACACACACACACACACACACACACACACACACACACACACACACACACACACACACACACAACACACACACACACACACACACACACACACACACACACACACACACACATTCTTCTCACTCTTCCCACACATGTTACCCTGCATGACTGCACTTTAAAGGGATAGTTTGGATGTTTTGAAGTAGAGTTATGTGAGGTAGTATCCATACGCAGTGTATATATAAGTATGGAGCAGCAGCAGCATAAATAATATCCTGACTATGGACAAATACCTGATGCAACCCTACTTCAAACATCCAAACTATCCCTTTAATGAGAATAACTCCCTCAGTCCTAACATAAACTGATGCATACTCTCTGCATCCCCTTACTTACCTTATCAGTTTCTAGAAAACACTTATAGTGCAGGCCAGATCCCGATTTACTAAACATCTTTTGATAATTAGCTTGCCTCTGCTTCACCCATGGGACTCGGTTCCCTCAGGAGACATCAGCATTCTGGGCACCTAGCTGAAACATTTGGAAATATGAAAGTTAATCATGTGCAACACACACACAACTTTTTAAGGTTTCAGGACAACACACGGACCAATATCCTCACCTCCTGCTAAGAATGTTGAACGGACGTGCTCTCACACACACCCACAGACAGCATGTCTATGCATGTCTTGTTAAAGCACTGCGTTTTGATCCGTGTGTTTCACACACATTTCTCACCGATGTTCTTTTTTCTCCCCCTGAAACATGACCCTAACCATAAACTAACCTTTTTCTAACCCTTCTTTCTTTTCTCGTCTGATGACCTTATTTCCCTTTTACTCATTTTCCCTCTATAACCCTCTCTGTTCACCACCTCCTATATGTCACCTTTCTCTATCACACACTCCTGCTCTTTCTTGTGTATCTCTCCTTCTCTCTCTCAGGGAGGGATGTATGGGGAGAGGCAGGCCTCTTTGCCTCTAATGGATTCTTACGATGGTTAGGCTTCACCCACTGTCACACTGCATGTCAGCGCATGGTATGTGTGTCCCACCAGCTGCTCCTCTCACGGCATGGCCTAAAATCTCAGTGGACTAAGAGCTGTGGCTATTTGTGTTTGACAGTGACCAGTGTTGTCAATGAGCTTCCATTGTACTGTTTTTGCTCCCCCTGCTGGTGAAAAGTGTATATTTATTTCTCCTGAGATGTGATGTTATTTATTTCTGTGCACAGTTTGTGTCATTTTTTCGTCTACCATGTGGTGACTTTGTTGCCAGCAGCCACTTTTGTGCAATGTGTTTTTTTAAAGCCTCGTCTGTGAATTCTTTGATTTTTATTTTATTTCTTTCCCGTCTCACATTATGTCTAAATTCCAAACCGACCCATACACAAGCCATCTCAGTGATGGAGTAAACTCCGTCTGTAGTCTCATTTTTTAATGTGGAGGGTGCAAATACAGCGGCATGCTTTGGGACTCACTTCGTAACCATGGTTTGAAATCAGTACAAAAAAAAGTGGCGTAAAACTCAAAGAATCTTAAGTGCCGTTTCTTTATAGTCTAGTTTGTAAAATGTGATGATTATGAGCTTCTTGGTTTTTGTTCCTGTAAATATAGAAAAAAGCTATCAGGCAAATGCACACGTCAACCATTTTCTAGACCACACCCAGGTATATATGGTCCCAAGTAAACTCTGAAGTTGTTACATAAAACTAGCTTAGTTCGCATAGTTTATTTGTAAATGTTTGCACAAAACTATTTGTACTCATTCGTTCCATAATACTTTGCAGATTAGCTGTTAGGGTAAATTACTACCTGTAGGAGAGTTCGATAACCCCCGCTCCCCACAAGTTAGTTTGGAACGGCACTTAATGTGGGGGACACTCTTTGCGAGGGTGTAAGGGTTGGTTATGACCCAACTGCCCAATTCCAAACCAACCCCTACACCCTTTCATTCCATGTTGGTGTGGAGAGTCCACCACATTAAGTGATGGTCCAAACCAACACGTGGGAGTGGGTTATCAAGCCCTCCAACAGCGAGTCTGCATCGGCCCTGACTATCCACCTGCACTTTCTGATCACATGCAAACAGTGTTTGTGTATGTCAAGAAACATGCTGTCGACAAACAGTTCCATATCAAACATTTATGAGTAAACTGCGCAAAATAAAATACATGTAATATTGTCATACAGATGATAACTTGAGGGTTACTATAGAAGGTTATTATACCTGTGTCTAGTCTAGAATATGGTAGACTTGTTAGATACTTTATTGATCCCACTTTGGGAAATCATTTTGTTACACAAGCAGCAGTGTGTTCAGACATTAATATACAAATGCTTAAAAAGTGGAATAGAGAATTTGATTGTAACATTTTCTATGAACTGTTGCAAAAACCAAGCAGCTGATAAACATCTGATTTGAAAACAAAAAGAGGTTTACAGAAAAGTAATTGCCACAAGTTTTTGGGAGTTTTATTATATTATAATTTCAAAAATGTTGGGTCTGAGAGGTGCCTATTTGAAAGCGTTATTGTGAAAATGACATTTTTCTGGCGGAGAGAGTGTTGTTTGACCCAAAACTTGCTGCTGTATCTATGCCCTCTAACTGAAAGAAGGGAGCCTCCTTCAGCTCTGAGTGTGACTACAGACGGATTGGGACCCCATAGGGGTAGGTTTAGAATTGACCCTACCTGTCACATGTGATCACCTCTGACCCTTCTTCTCCTCCTGCAGAAAAACTGATAGTGTGCATCACGAGACGACAGCCTCCTCCCACCTACTGCCCTTGCTGAACTGACAAATGGGGGACCACAACACTACGGATGGGACTCAAAACTCCATCCTTTACACTCAACTCTCCTGTCCCCTCTTCACTCTTTTTGCAGCTCCTCTTCTTTCTCTTTTGGTTACATTCCTTTATCGCAGCTTGGAAAACTTAACAAAATCACACGGAGACAAACGGACGTGGATCTACGCTCCCTGTGGAAAACCGGACGAGACACTTTGACCACTTTTGTGCGCCGCGAGACCCTTAACTCCAAAACCACTCGATCAGACACCACGGCAACAACACTACATCTCCAAGCTACACTACGACACTACAACTCGCCTGTACAACATTAATTCTCTCTTCAACCAAAGGCAGAGACTGTGGTCAGAACAGGACCCTTTTTGGTGAACTTTTACACAACACTTCAAGGACATGTCTTTTTCTCTCTCTATGATTGTTCAATACTACAAACAAATGTTTTTCCTACCATTGATAACCAATGTTTAATGATCTAATCAGATATGTGTGAAATCTTCTGCTTCTGTTTTTGGTTGTGGTTGTTCCTCTTCTTGCTCCGCTCTGTACTACAGTTAATGTTCATGTGCCAAATGACACTGCTACCGCTGCCAATTCTAAATGCAACAAACCGGCATCTGCTTTGTTTTGTTTGCAGCTTGTGACGGTCAACATGATGCATGGGGGCTGCTTCGTATTTCTGTATAGGTTTGTGATCTGTAGATGTAAAAGGGTGGAGGTGCCAGTATAAATACAAAAATATAATTATTCTCCATCTCGTCGGTGTATTCTACATTTCTGTTAAGTGTAAGCATCTTAACTTTGTGATTCTTGGGAGATATTACAGGATTCCTGGGCAGCATTTCCGTCTGTAAATCTTATGAATGTGTTCAAACAAACAGCATCTCTGTATGTGGGCTAACTGGAGTGCCTCGCTTATCAGGATAGTTCTGATGAGTGTGCCTAACATGAAATAGGGGAGGGGGGGAGGTAACCAAACAAGGTGTCTTTTTCTCAGCAGTTGGGGAATACTGTACATTAAACTTGCCTGTTTTCTATTCTGCAAAAAATAATGGGACAGGATCTTGTTTGTGTGATGTAATTGGAAATGTCTTTTTATAAGGTATAAAACTCTCTAATGTACTGCTTCAAAGTCTACCTGGCTTTAACACTACACAACAGTACATGGGAGAAGACACAGTGCTGTCTGCTTTTACCTACATTTCTTACATATTACAGTTATGTAGAAAAATGCTTAGTGCCGACTGAGATGTAGATAGAGTGGATGATTAAAAGAAGCGGGGGGGGTAATGTATGTTTTCTTTTTTTTCTACCTTTCCTCATGCCAATTGAATCATGACAGGATGCCTCATTTTTCTCAAATGTAACACGTTGTCTTCAAGAGTGGACTGAAAAGGGGAGAGTAAGGGTTGGAAAGTTGCAGTGTATTGAGGCATAGACCAGAATTTGCTATTAGAAAAAAGCAGAGAAAAAATAAAAGCACATTTAAACTATATATACAAGAGAATATTTGTTAATTTGAATGGTTTTATGTATTTCCTTTTTTTAAATATTGATTTGGGTTTAATTTTTTCGGGTGCTCTTGGTGAATGCATATGCAATCAGTTTTTATGTTTTAATTAAAAAAACATTCAGCTTCATGTCTTAATTAAATGCAAAACGAGTTAGCTAAACAAAAATCCACCAATGCAGCCATCAGATAGCCTACTGGAACATTCTTGGAACATCTGATTCTGGACTACCACTTAATCTCTTTGCCTTGGCTCTTAAAAGTTGCACATTCTCATTTATGAATGAATTATGTAACTAGCAATACTGTTTTTAATAAAAAAGAAATGATTTCTCAGAGCTTTTGTTTTTATTGTCACCTGTTTATCAGCCTGTGCTTTTATAAAGAAGAATGACATTAATTTGTTAATTTATGATAGTTTTCCTAAGTGTCATTTCACAGAGCGGCTAGTAGGTGGCGCTTTGAGATTAAGACGCAACACTTTTACAGTCTGCGCAACACAACAGATGCGACGGTAGGAACCGTGTTAGTTTATGCATGTAAAGCTTCTTCTCCTTTGGAAAACACTTGTCATTTTTGCAAATACACTTAAGTAACCCAAAATACCTCTACTCGTGCAACAGACGGTGTGTAGAATGCTACAGGTGAGTGTACTTTCCTGCTAATGCTATCCGACGTTAGCTGCATAGCGCTTCGCTAACAATTTGACCACACTGAGTTGCACTGCTGTCAGTTTAAATAGGTTAAATAAACATGTTGTAACGGACTGCATTATTAAGCTAGTGAGTGTGAATACGGTGGACATTGCATGTTTATTATTTATTTCTGGTTTATTTTTCTGCTAACTTGCTAGCTAAGTTCTAGCCCCAATGTGCTGAATGTTGACTATGGGTGGTAGAATAAATGGGAGCGGGAAAATACAATATTACAAACAAATGAAATGTTTAACCATCACATTCACCAAGGTTGACATTGCTCGAGCGCAGTTCTCCACGTGCTGCGTATGCTATGGTAATTATTAGGGCCGGGACTTTAACGCGTTAATTAAGATGAATTAATTACACAAAAATTAACGCGTTAAAAAAATTAACGCATTTTAATCGCACTTATTTTTGCACCGCGGAACGTTTCTCACTGGATGAGTTTCAGGCGTACCGATTATACTGGAGCACCAACTAACGTTCATGACTTCAGACAACAACAAACCACAGTGAACAACAGTGGGATATGTTGTTTTAAAAAACGGACGGATGGAAGCGTCGATAAGAGCACGGTTGTGTGCAAATTATGCAAAAAGGAATTCGCATATCACCGCAGCACATCAAGCCTCAAGTATCACCTCAATGCAAAACATATAGCAGCTAGCGTGGAAGCTAGCGTGGACGTTAGCTTCTTTTATCGCGTTCACACCAAAAAGAGCCGGTACTAAAATTAGTTCATGAGAACCTTTTACCCCCTTTTCAGTCCCTGCTATAGAGCAGAGAGCTGCTAGAGAGCAGGGACTTTCGTACGGCTCTCTTGTGAGAAAAGAGCTATATGTCTGAATCGCTGGGCGGATTGCAAACCACGCCCCGTAAAACTCCCAAAAAGTTTTGTGAATTTTATTATCCTCGCATTAGCATTATTAGCATTAGCCCAGCGCAGAAACGCAGAGAGACTAACTTATGGCAACACAAAATAAAACATGGGAGCGGTGGAGATGAGGAGGTGTCGGCGTTCTGGCGATTTACTCTGAAGGCTGCTGGGACTCCCTAATCCACCCCCAGGTTCAAAGAGTTCTCATGAACTAAGTTCTCATGAACCTTTGTGGGAAAAGTACTGCGGTGTGAATGCGCCTAATGGTATACTAAAATCCATGTGAAAAAAATTGCTTCTCACTGTTCTCAGATCAAATATTTATATGTGATTAAAAATGCGATTAATTTCGATTAATTAATTACAAAGCCTCTAATTAATTAGATTACTTTTTTTAATCGAGTCCCGGCCCTAGTAATTATTCAAAGCTAAAGAGTGACATTTGTATATTTTCGGAAACTCAAACCTTGCTTGCATTTAGAGAAAAACTAGCTTTAAAATGTAGTAGATACATCGTATCGAGTGTATATGCATGTATCGAGGGGCTTTAACAATTGACAATTAAATAAACGAATCGAGAATAAAAACCCATTCTAAAATGGAAATGAAGGTGACGTTTAATTTGGGCAGTAGCCTACCAGTGGTCAGGTAGATGTATACGTACATGGTAGCAACAGTAGAAGGTGTAAATGTGTTTGTTTCATAATAATTCAAGCCATACTGCTTTATCTGTCCTCCCCTTGTCTTTTGTCCCTCCTCCTCCCAGTACCCATGTGGACATGCAGCGGTACAGGTGGCCAGATTATGAGATGAAGCTTCTGGAGGAGCTGCAGAAACAACAACACAATGCCCGATTCTGTGATACCTTGCTTCAAACTGAGGGTGAGGATGAGCTGTGTGGCAACCTTTAATGTTAACGTTTTAAAGCAGGGGTGGGGAACCTCCGAGGCCATTTGATGCGGCCCTCGAGGTAATTTATAAACACACGCAAAAAATTAAAGAAATCTAGACCGCAAAATAATTAAACAAGAGAGTGCCTGTTTTTCCTGGCCGAGGGCAGGGTCCTTGAACAAAACACAAGCCTAACGTGTCATCACGTGGTATCTCGTCTGACAGGGGTGCAGTTCTGCCGGAGAGCACCAGAACGCCGCTCCAGCATTTCCAAAAATTGCAGTACCGATAAGGAGCCGTACACATGCCGCAGCTTTTGCGTGGCTGTGTCTTTAGTTGAAAGCCCAGTGGCGATCTGTTCATCTGTCATGCTGATCATACAGTCAATAACTTGACTGTTATTAGCATCTGGTTAGCTAGCTATGCTAACGAATATAAGAAGCTTTTTCTACAACCAGTGAGGTAAAGGCACATCTTTATATGATCATTATAGTTATAAAAAAACAAGAGAATAAAGGAAAAACTGGTATAAAATACTATATGACAGTAAAAAAAAGTTGTTAAATAAACAAGAATACAGTTTAAAAGGGGAGTGATTTGTAAAATATCCATAAAGAAAAAGAAAATCTGCTTACAGTTCGGTGTTGAGAGATGTATCCATAGATCTCCTAATGTTGCTCTCACACCAGATTGATGCTTTTAACTTCAACATTTAAAAATATATATTCCCGGGGGAGCATGACCCCTAGAGGAGGTTAGGTTCCCCCCCCCCCCCCACACTTACATCATGTTCACATGGATAGGAAACTAAATACATTTGCACACATCTTGTGTCCACATCTTTCTGTTTTGGTGGTCATGCCACAACCGTGCACATGGTTTATGTTTATTAAGGATCCCCATTAGCTTTTGCTCTTGACAAAAGCTACTCTTCCTGGGGTCCATACAATACAACATTAATACAACAATAATACAACACCATTCAAGACATAATTCCTGACATCATTAACAACATCACCAATATCATCAACAATTTCCAACATCATCAACAATCTCATCCACTTTCAATATCAATCTCAGTCTCAGCCAAGGATGGTACATGGTAAGAGTCATGGTAAAATGTCTGGATTGAGAGGTTGCTTTTTCTTTGCAAAGCATGAAAGAAAGGCCGAATGAATGGGCTGTGATTTTAGTATTTTTAAGCAGAGGTCAATAATTTGTACGGCCCTCGGAGGATGTTGTAAAAATTGAAATGGCTCTTGAGAGGAAAAAGGTTCCCCACCTCTGTTTTAAAGAGTAGTTAAACATTAACCCATATTTCTTCTTCTTACTACTTGTAAAGGTATCTCAGTCCCAACCCACAGTTGCATCCTTGCAGCGCTGAGTCCTTACCTGTCTGAGAAGCTGTCAGCCTCCATGTCTCCTCCAAGGGGCCAGAAGCGGCAGCTCCGGCTCCAGGCCCTGAAGGGCCAGACGCTGCTGAAGCTGGTTAGCCTTCTGTACTCAGGGGAGCTGGAGGTTAAAGGAGGTGTAGAGCAGGAAGACGTGCTGTCTGTAGCCCGAACGTTTGGGATCACAGACCTTGTTCAAGGACTGGAACATTTGGAGGAAAAACAGAGGAATGAAAGCAGAACAATGCAGGATGCACAAGTTCAGAATGAGATGGCTGAGAGGAGAGACCAAGAATCTCCATCCAGAATGGGAAAATGTGTATCCATAGGCACGCAAACTACTGAAAATATAGTGGGAGGTTATTTTACGCAGTCAACCCAAACTGAACATCCAACCCCAGGGCCTTTATCCTCTGGAGTTCAAAGTATGGATTTCTCACTCCAATCTCAAAACATCACACTTGATAAACATTTTCATTCCACTTTCTGCCCACATATTCCCACCATGCACAATCAAACACAGAGCAATGGAGAGTCTACGTTAGACTGCCCCTCTGACAGTGAAGAAAATCCCACGCCAGCTTTGTCCAGCAACGTTGTGACCTTTCCTATTTCACTTAATGTTGACTCAATCTCAACACCTCAGGAAGTGGCCGCCCACCAGCAGTCATCTAAATGTGAGAACACCCTACAGGTGCTGGCTAAGGAAGGGACTAAGAAAGATGGAAAAACAAATGGCAAAAGAGCTGACGATAAAGATAATGCGGAGCAGCCGAGTCACAGAGATGAGATGATAAGACGGGGAAAGTCTACACTGAAGAGACTTGCACATGTAGCGAGTAAGAGTATGTCTAAGATGAAGCAGGTGCACCACATGATGGAGACCACACAGATTGCTATTAAGGTAAGGAGTAGTTCATTATTTCAAGTAGAAAACAACCTGGAATCTCGCATAGTGAGGTATGTGCATAAACTCTAACGCTTAATTATGTTAAGCTTGTGAAGCATGTCGAATACACATTTCCACTGACTTTTATACATAGTCAAATATTTAAGGCCAAATTATCCCTGGGATATGGAGGCTCCCTTTGGGCTGAACAAAACCAAAACAACGTGCAAATATATTGACTAAAATTGCAATTGCGACATGATTCACAATTTCCGAGGAATTGATCATTTATTTTCAGTATCATTGAAAAATATATTAAAAAAGTGTGCCATTTGTATCTGTACTAAACAATGATATTTGTTATTAAATCTGTAGAATACCATTTGTATGCCAGACCTCTATGCAGCAACACAATACTTAATTTAGAAACATGTTTACACTTATTTTGCCTTGAAAACCTATTGTGCCTCCTGCCATTTGACTATTACACTAGCCCATATCATTTTTCAGCACAAATGGCAGACATTTTAACTTTTCCTGCTGTTTCCGGTTATTACTCATTTAAAAATGAATATCTATGGAATTATTTC